TTAGAAACATTTTGTTTTTTTGTTTTAGATTGTATAAGAATATCGTAAAAAGTACTCAGGCCACAAAAAATATGTCTTAACTAAAGAAAAACTAAAATAATAATTAATTTCAGTGGTCATATTAATATTTTAGTGTGTCAATGTTGAAACAAATAAATAATATACTAAAAATTAATTTTAGTTTCTTACAAAAAGGGGTAATGTAACAAAAATTATCAAAGGAACGTTTTTTTATAAAATTTGTGTGGAAGAAAAATGGTTATAATACATTTTTATGTAAGATTAAAATTTATGAAACTGAACTCACAAAAAAAAAATATCCTTATTAATTAAAGTTTGAACCCTTTGAAACACGTTAAGGGGATGACTTATCATAATATAAATGTCCTATACTTATTTTTTTAATATATGGAATAACATTTGGGGATCACAGCATCAAATTTTCCAAAAAAAAAAAATTGACCCTAATAGCTAAGGACAACCTTATATATATTAATATTCTTATCCAGTAACAAGCTGAAATATCAGTGTTTTATACATGTATATATATATATATACTACCATAGCACACTGAACTTGAATATGTAGATCAATCAAACCACTGATTGTTGAGTTATCGGCTTTGCATCCGGATTGTCCTCTTTTGCGCCACCGCTAACTATTCCTACGTAACCAATACCTGTAGTTATATAATACAAGATAAATATATATATATGCTTTGTTTGATCTTAATTCTGGTTTATTTACGTGCATGTGATAATACACTTACAATACGCAAATCAGATGTATTATCCTTTTATCTGTAAAGTTTGATCATTACAGTAATTGACATTTTTATATTATATCTCATTACAACATAATTCTTATTCTTACATTTAATCAATTTATGCATATACGAGTATATATATATATATATTATATATATTAGGCTTAAATTATAATGTTTTAGTATAATTATAAAATATAAATGATACAAGGTACTCGTATATATGGGATGTTTTGATTTTATATCAAACAACACGCATTTCTTAGAGATTATTTGGGATATAAAATAATAAACTGTTGTTAAAAATATATTTCAAAATATTAAATACATTAAGACTAACAATTGTAAATTCGTATACTTAAGTTAAGTTGATTTTAAATTAGGAAAACCTATTAATAATACAAACAATTAAATAATATTACTATATTTTATGATATATTTATAATTAAAGTATTTGCATAATCATATTTTAACAATTAACCGATAGGAAATGTGGTTGTTATGATATTTAATTACAGGGAAAAAAATATGATATTAGTATTAAATTGATAATTTATTCACCATGTGAAAATAAGTTGTTTTATTAATGTGGTATAAATTATGTCAAGATAAAAATTAATTATTTATAAAACGGTAATAAATATCAAAAAAATTGTTTAAACTCAAATAGTAATATATTTTATATTTTCAACCATATATATATTTAATGAGATACATGTGTAGAATAATTATTTCTATTGCAAGGTGAAATTAATTTATATTATTTAAGAAAATATATTTTATTAACGACTTACACTCGTATTCTACTATTTACGTATTGACAGTTTAGTAAAATAAAAACTTATACAAATAATGCACAACTTTTTGAACATTTTTTCAAAAAACTAGGGTATCATTTAAAAAAATTTAATGCATAATTAGAGAACAAATACATTTTTTCTAATACTGTAAGAACTTAACATTATAAGAATATTAAGGTCATTATGTATTCATATTTTATTATTTTATTTTGGAGTAATATATTTTGGTTAGTTTTAAGTTTTCAGAAATTTTAGGATATTTTAAAATACTTATTAAATTATTATCCAAAAAAGTAGGTTTTACAAATATAGTTAATTATTGTTTCTTTTAGTAATTTTTATATTCATAAAAAATTTAAACTTTGGTTAAAAAAATATATTATTTCATAGGTTGTTATTTTATATTGATTCATGTACAAATTAGTTCGTTTTTTAATTGTTGTTATTAACCATACCTTAGCAAGGTTATACTGTTCAAAGCATGTATGAAAGAAGAGACAAACAATGAAACATAAGGGGTATCTCTTAAGTTTCTAATTAAATATGAAAAAAGCTGCGACATAAGCAGTTAAATAATATTTGATGTGGCTAAGGCTTAAATATAATTTCAACTTCATTTTTTTCCAAAAGATTAGATATTTTGAAATTCACAAATAAAATTTTTTTTAACAAGTATAATAATTATATTTTTTTTTACAATATAATTATCAAAATAAATTATATAATATATAATAAAAATTATATTTTGATATTGAATAAATTAGATTCATTTTTGATAAATTCAGTTTTTTTATGGTCTTTATGTTTAGCTGTTGATATAAATTTAATTTAATACCTTTATTTACTTACTATTTACACAAAAGATTATTATATTATTGTATTTTTCTTTTAAAATTGTAATATCAAAAATAATAATAAGGCAAGCAAAAAAAAAGTCTTGAAAATTGTTCCTTCTTTTTTTTCCAGTTAAATATGTTAGTGGATGTTCATAATATTAATGAGAATGGGATTCCGTCGAGAGTCCTTACACATATGTGTATATACGAGTCGTGTCTTAAATGACCTACTTATATTGTCTTCTCATTAACACAATAAGTGGTATGAGTTTTCTGAAACTCATTGTATGCTCACTACATAAATGTATTAAACAGTGTGGTTTAGTAGGGTACATATACTGCTTAGGGTCCTATGATGTATTGGATATTTTCAAGTAATCAGTAAATTAAGTTTAAATTAAGTCTCTAGTCACTAGACTACCTATCTAGGAAAATCCCATAAAATCACACTAAAATACTCTGAAAATAAGATAACATAGATTATTTATAATAATTGCATAAAATTTTTATGAACAAAAAATGCAATATCGTCACGGCTCAACACATTAAAAATTTTTTTATATTCTACTTGGGAGTCTAAAATTCAACACAGGTTAATAAATTTCTTATTTTATCATAACTCGAATACAGCGCTTTCATATGATCAAACGCCAACAAATCAATAACCCGAAAACTTGACGTTATCTATAACTCGGGACTTAGAATTTCAATCGGCATTTTTCATTTAAGCTCAGTACTTAGTATCTATAACTTATCCAGTATTCTACCACTAGATATAAGAAGACTCAAACTAAAATTAAACCAAGAATTAAGATTCGCTAGCTCTATACCAATACTCTAGTTCACGCTCAACCTTCAAAAATTACATTAACTACTTTGTGAAAACAATTTAAAAATCACTTAAATACTTCCATTGACCGCCATCATTTACGCCAATTAACCCTACTAAAATTGTATTATATTTTTTTAAAAAATAAGAACAGAATAACATTTTTCTTGCATTAGTATAATGCCAAAACCAAAACCAAAAGTTTTTGTTATTTTAAAAACCAGAACTTGAATTTTATTTATTTATTTATTTATTTTTTTGAAATCAAAATTTTAGTATTTTAAGAATGCCAACTGCCAATGCTGAAACTGGAACCGGTTATTATATGAAACCGGAATTTTTTTTTCTTGGAACCGAATCGTAACTGGTAATTCAAAATGTATGTAGGTTACAGTTCCTGGTTTAAATTTCTAAATTCTTGCACAATACTCACTACAGAGTGCATAGCAATCCTTAAGGCTCTTCATCTTATAAATAATTATAATTTTAAAGATACCATCATATTTACGAAATCGCTCAGCATTATCAGCAATATTAAAAACATCTATATAACGTCAGATATCAGCACACATTTTTAAAATTATACATATAATTTTTATAAGAACAAAACTAAAATATTCTAAATTCTTGGCCATTCAAACATCAACAGAATCGAACGCGCCAAAAATTTTACAGTATCTATAAAATCATCTGTCTTCCAAATTGTCTCTTGCACTGATATATTACGTTTAATTAAATATAAATACATTTATAAATGGCATTAACAATGGAAATCTCAATTTACCAAACTCCATGAAATAAAAAAAAATTTACAATACTGACGTTTCCCATCTGAATTATCCAGAAAGTTCGAAGTCATAATTACCAGATTAAGGATCGGCCACACAAAATTAACCCTCGGCTGCCTAATGTCTGAAGAGAACGCATCAATATACACTGCATGTGAGGTTCCCATCAACATAAAATACTTATTTACCGAATGCTGCATATACAAAACGGGCAGAAAAAATTATAAACTCCCAGAGTCATTCACTGCAGCTCTCAATCAGGATCCCAATTCACTTTCCAACTCAATCAAATTCATCGTCATAGGATATTTAACAATCAAAATATAAGCATTCATTTCATACGTTTAAATTTTTACTTTTTACCACATACTTAAATTTATTTATATTAATTCAAATCTATTGTAATAATATTAATACCACCAACTGACTACTGTTGCCGAGAGTTTTTTGTAAATAAAAATTAAAAAAAAATGTTAAAAAGATATACAAAAAATGATTATTTATTAATAATATGTTAATTGTTTAATGAGGCGGGTTAAAACGATACACCATGAGATTAAATTGTATTTATGTATTATTATTTTTCACGAAGAAAAAGTTTTAAATTTGATTAATTAAATATAAAAAAATAAAATATAATATTTAGGTCGGTTAAAAAATAACGATGTACGTTTTTAAGTTTAAAACTATAAGTGTATTCTTATGATTAAAATATTAAAAGTTGTTGAAACTATTTATAGTTGTTAGAAAAAAATAATATTACGGATTATCGCATATGTTTTGAAATAAAAGGTAATGAGTTAACATGTAATTAAAAATATAAAGACTTAATATGGTTTTTTAATTTTATATATGATTTGTACGAAATAGTTAGTGACATAGTTTTAAAAAGATCTTCAAGTGTTACTGTTAATATAATTTGCTTATAGTAAGAGTTAGAAAATTTGTAGTTATTTTTAATGTGACATTATTTTGTTTTAGGAGGATCAACTAGTTAGAGTATTGGAAAAAAATACCGAGTTAACCATCCAAAATACAGATCTACACAAACAAGTATTACAGCTCCAACATGTAAGTATTTTTGTAAAGGGACATACATTGTATTTTATAATACTTGAATTTACAAAATTTTCTTTGGCTAAAGTAATTTTTTGAAATTAAAATCATTATGAGGTTTACGATATTTTACAGGTTGCAAGAACCTTTAAACAGGTCTGTTTACACACTCACCCATAACATAAACCTAAACATACATATATTTAAAAAACAATTATAGTTATTTCCTTTAGTGAAATTGAGAATTTAGTTGATCAGTTTAATGCACCCTAAAAACATAATATTATTTTACTTAAATAGTTGCATAGTTTTTTTAATTAGAAAACTAAATTAAAAAATATTTTAATGTTTTTACACCTTGAATATTGTAATCGGACCTCACTGTTATTTTGCACTAATCAACTCAGAATAAAAATAGATGTTTTAAGCATTTCTGCTATTAGCTTATTTTATATGTTATATATATTTATATTTTTTCTTAGGTGAAAAAAGGCTCCGGGCTGAATTCAGTATCAGCCCGGGAAAATGCTGATCAAGAAATCGATGAGATCCTCAAGGTGAGTATGGGTCATAAATTTTAGTACAAATGTCAAAATCATAATTCTTTACATCCAATTGTGTTATGAAACCTTAGCTTATGCAAGATGCGACCGATAAAAAGAGAGCGTTGGAAAAAGAGCATAAAGAATGCGTTGTCCAACTTCAAGATAAACAGCGTGAATTACAAACTAAACCATCAAATATTAACTATACAGAGAAAACTAGACTGTGTGAAAACATTGAATCCTTACAAGTATATTATATCATTATATATAGATAACATTTATTTCATTTTGGATATTGGTATTTAATTTTAGTCCAAGATTCGAGAGCTGGAAAAAAAGATGGAGTTGGAAAATGTCAAACAAGAAGAGCTACAGTTAGAATTAGAGCATCATAAGAAGTCTAACTTGAGAACGTCATATAAGACGACAGACTTGACTTTAAATTCACCTGCAGAATCCACTGCGTCTAGTGGAGACCTAAGTATTAAAATTGTTCTATTACGTATAGTAAACTTATTTTAAATATGTTCCTGTATAGGATTATCATAAAATACAATTTATTTGAAATAATGCGTAGAAATACAATGTATTTTTTATTTTCTGATGACTAAACCATGATAAGGTTGTATCATTTTATGAAATTTATTTTATAGGATCAAATTCTTTAAATCATTCTTCTTTGCCTACATCATTAGAACACATGTATTCTACTGATCAACAAAGACAACATAGAATACAATCCGCAGGTATAATATAATGAAATTGGTTCACATTTAATAAAATAACATTAAAATATTTTTAACTTGTATTGGATAATATTATGTTTATAAATAGGAGATGTTTTGGAAACAATTAATACCAATAAAACAAATATTGCGGGAAGAATATCGGCTTTACCTTCGGAAATAGATCGTATAATGGCGAAAATTGATCAAGATAATCGAGTTTTAGCTGAGCTCGACAAGACAAGATCTACGATAGGTGAGAATAATCTTCAATTATTTAGAACAAATTTAAGTGAAGTATATAATGTAAATATGAAATAAAGGATGTTTAATATATATTTATGAATACTTTAAAATTCAAATGATTTATATGGCTATACCGATTATTTGAATCATGGAGTCAATTATTGAATTTGAAACCTAATAATATATATTGAACACCCTTATAAAATACGTATAAATATATATATATATATATATATATATAAAAAAAAAAAAAAAAAAAAAAAACAGTTGCCGGGGGTCCTGGGCAAACAGCACCGCTGCATAAAGTCAAAATAAAAAGTGATAAAACGGATTCAAACACAGCACCGCTTCGGTCGTGCTTGAAAAAACGCAGTAAGTTATGGGCACAAAATAAACAAAAATGCCTTACTTATAGTTCGAAGAGTAGTTTATTAGATTATTAAAATGTAATCAAAATTTAATTATTATTCATTAATAAAAAATAGATAAATATGCATACCTAATATATTAGGCAATTTGTTAAAATACATTTAATATCTTAATTAGATTTTTACTAGCACTTATGCTTTTACAATTATAAATATAATTTTTTTAATAAAATTATCTAGACTAAAATTAAATAATCATATAGCACATAAATAGTTAGAACCGAAGTATTTGCATCACGTGTATTATGGTTATTAATTATTGTGAAGGCATACATGCATTTTATAAAACACATTTTATAAATAAAAAATGTGGTCATGTGTTTTAACATTCCAACTAATAAAATTTTTTTTTCATGTTCTGTATTCCGTTGTTGACCTAACTAGTGGATAAATATATCATTATTAGGATTTCAAATATAATTTCAAATATATTGAATATTATGTTTAATATTTCATAATAATTTTATAAAATGCATGAGTTTAGTCAATGCTGAATATATCGTTAAATAGTTACTTCGTTGAAATTTTTCCATTCATATTTACATACATTTATTTGCTATAGTTAAGCATATTTTAGTAATTTTCATTTAATAATTGTAAATATGCTATGATGATAATATTGTGTTCAATAAGTATCAAAATATCTTTTTTTATTGAATTATTTTAGGTTTACCGACAGCTGGTGTACTCACGTCTGTTTCGAGTTCTATACAAGAACCGAATTATGCCTTGAATTCTACGCCACAACATATGAATTATCCGTATACAGAGGTATGTCTAATATTTCGTAACGTTTTAATTAGTAACATACCAAATTTTACTATGTTAAGCTTTATCGAATGGCCCCGGGTCATCTCACACAGACATATCAACCCTTATCCATCGGCACATCAGTGTTACCAAACGTAGGACCATTAACCACTACAACTCCAGCACTAGAAACAGTTTTGTTGGCTAGTGGACAACAGTCTAGACTTCAGCCAAAAGGACGGATTATGCCAGCAATTCCTAGCATGATCAATGCTCAACAAGATATCGATTGTAAGTGGTTTAGTTAAATATGTAAAAAAAAAATAAAATAATTTTAAGGGCTGCATTCGTATTTCAGACCAAAATAATATTATAAACGACGCATTAGGATTGAATATGGATTCAACAAAACGTATTGGGGAAAGACGAATGCCTGACATGTTGGATATACCTGGAAAAGGCCAATGTTATGTTTATTGTGCGAGGTAAATAAAATGTGCTTTTGTGTACTATATATATATATGTGTTTTAAGGTTAAAATACTGATTAAATGTTTTTGTATAATATTTAATTACAGATATACATATGATCCATTTTATTGTTCACCTAATGAAAATTTTGAAGAAGAATTGCCAATTACTGCTGGGGATTATATCTTAGTGTGGGGTAATAAAGATGAGGTATGTTTTAATAATGAAAGTATATATAGGTTTATATAGGTATTATATTTCGGTGTATTTTATTAAAATCGGTTTTATGATATTAAAATACAGTTATAATAGTTAAGTTTATTGGTAGAGGTGTAATAAAGATTTTTTCTTTATGTGAATGGATTAACAGTCGAATTTTATAAAATATGTTGTTTAAGATTTAACCTTTATTACTTTTTTTTTTAAATAAATAGTAGTTAGTTAAATATTAATATATTTAAGAATGATGTCTAACGAAGTGTTTTGAACACTTTTGATACAGTAAAATCGGCTTAAAAGATTAAAAATTAAAAATATTAGCATATTTTTGGTATAGATACCTAAAAGTTTTTTTTAAAATATATATAAATAAATTATATGCAAGTTACCAGTGGTGAATTTTTTTAAGAATTATCATTTTACCATTTTTATGATCATTCTTGAAATGTGATTATAATGTTAAAAATATCATCTAAATTGTAGATTAAGAAAGAATAACTCCATAAATAGTATGAACATAATTTATCAGTTGTGTTGGTAGTATATTTTAATTAATAAGCACTCGTATATAAAAATTCACTTATTGTTTTAACTTAGTAAATAACTTTCTTACATTATTAAACATCCTACAACAACCAATAATTTTTTTGAATTTAATGTTTTTTTTTAAATACCCACTGCAAATTAAAGAGTTAATAAATATTTTACAGGATGGATTTTTTGATGGCGAACTTTTAGATGGTAGACGGGGATTAGTGCCTTCTAATTATGTAGAACAACTATATGGTAGAGATCTTGAAGATTTTTATCAATCTATGGTAGTAAGACTTAGAGAATGTGACGATAGTGCAACAACCACGGTTCCTCAAAATATTGAATATATGCTCCCAGGTAAATATAAATAACTATTATTCATATTGGAATTTAACTAAACATAATTACCATGGTGTGGAAATACAGACGAACAAATGAAAAGACTGGCTCAACATGAGTATAATAACATGTTAGAAGAACTACAGGAAGATGATAATGTCGATGACGATGGTAAGATTTAAAATATTATTCATTTATAATTAATTTCAGTTGATCAGCTTCTTATTAATCCTAACAGTTTAAAGAAAAATTACATAACATCGGTTAGAAATATTATGTCCATTAGGTATAGGTGTAAATTGCTTGCTATATAGGAACGTGTGAAAAATTAAGTATAAAGTGTAATATGTTTGTAGAAATCTAGGAATTTAATATTTATAATTTTCCTAAAGTTTTGGATAAAGGAATACTAGATAACATTAGAGCTTTATAGAACTTTAGATGATGTGTGAGTTTACTTAATAATCATTTTTATAAAAACCATAGAAAATCAAATTATATTAGACTCTGAGTGGTGAGGAATGTATTTTTTATTATAGCTGAAGATGAAAATTACCAAATTAAAAATTCCTTAAATAGATCGTCTTTCGGATATACGCATTTAATTATAATGAAATTATAAAATTGTTTTTTTTTTATGAAATAGTGTTAAATTTTTTATAATATTATGGTAGAATACAAATAAAAAAATGTAAAAAAGACCCATACGGAGAATGTAGAGTGGTTTAACGATTTTGAAAATATTATTACATGATGGCGACTAAATATTCTAGACTAGTGCATGTAGAGCTAGCGTAGAGTAATAGCGTCTTGTTTTGGGGGGAAATTGTTTTTCCGGGGCATCGTCACTGTTAGACATGTTCTTCTCGCTGCTAGTACCGGCACCAAAGCAGTTGACGTTGGAAAGGCAGTTAAACAAAAGTGTGCTCATTGGATGGAATGCGCCGTCGCCTGAGGAAGGATGTTTACCAGAATCGTATCACGTATACGTAGATGGAAACTTGAAGACGACCATAAAGGCTACAGAGAGAACTAGGGCATTGGTCGAAGGAGTTGATTCAAATAAGGTAAGTGGAAAGAAAATAATTCAAAATAAAATACATCATATTTCTTTTTAAATTTTTTTAATGTAATTCATATTACTCATTATAGTTATATTCAAACCGAAAAAATGTGAACTATTATTTATTCGATTAACTGTTTTAAATCAACATCAATAAAAAGTATAGGAATTTACTAAACTTTAATATTATTGTGTACATTATACAGATGTTCGAAACTAATTAAAAGAGTGGATAATATTAATTATTAGTTAAATAACAAAATGGTAGTTTTCTACGAAAACAATAGAATTTCGTATTCTAAGCTAGGTTTTATTATTTATGCGAATACTAGCCTAAAGATTATATTTGGATATTTGGTACGTTTTAAGTTGACAATAAACATAATCTTTAAATACATTTTTAATAAACATTAATAAACATATACATTTTTGGTAGGTTTACCAATTAAATATCACTATTTTTAACTTATAAATAGTTGTTATTTAAATAAATTTTTTTGTAGTTTCTCTTTTTAAGTCAACGAAGGGAATAAATAATATTTTTTATATACAACTTTTATTTTGTCTTATAACATTTCTAAACAACTTCTTCACTGATTCTATCCTATTTTATTTATTGGTTTATAGCCACATAGAATCAGTGTTAGATCAGTTACGGCTAACAGAAGAACATCAAGGGATGCAGCTTGCACTATGGTTATTGGTAAGGAAAAAGAGTTACCATTACGACCATCGCATGTTAAGGCTAGCCAAGTTACGTCAACATCGGCTGTTATATCATGGCTGCCAAGCAACAGCAATTTTCAGCATGTAGTATGCGTTAATAATGTTGAACTCAGAACTGTCAAACCTGGTGTTTACAAACATACAATAACAGGTGATTTAAATGTTTTCATTATTTTACTGTAGACAACATGAATTTTGCTTATTTTTTTTTATAGTTAACCTAATGCCATAAACAAATTTTACATGTATTTCAATAAATTTAACCATTTACACTAAAAGAATCATGACAGAATATTATTCATTGTAGATAAATTCATAAATATGATGGCATGTGTTCGTGTATAGACTTATATATAAAAAAATATAAATAATATTATTTTAGCTGAAAAAAAAAATTAAATTGTGTTGTACTTTCAAATCATATTGCCTTCTAATAAACCATGTAAATTAATAGGTATAGAAATATATTTCAAGTAGTTTCATAATTCAACTTAGAATAATTTGATTATTTGAGTTTTGAACATTTCAGTGGTAATTAATTACAAGTGATGTCTGAAAAAGTCCTCTGTTACGGACAATAGTACTTATTAGAAGTCATATTAATTTGCATGTAAAAAAATATCAAAATTATTACAACATGTTTTTGTCTTTTTAATTATAATATATTTATAAAAAATATAATTCATAATAACAGAATGAGAGTTTAATAATGAGTAATAATAAAAGTTGAAAGTGTACTTATTGACTATGATAGATTAATATAGATTCATTAAAATTAGAATAAAATATTTCGTGAAATAGCACATCATTATATTAAATATCACAGTTTATACGATAAAAAATAATAATAATCTTAATATATTAAAATGTATATAATTATGCTTACTGACATTTTATAAATTGTAGGTTTTTCGATTATAGAAATTTAAATAAAATATTAAAAATTCATGTTCAATTATATATGATCGGTTAATATTAAAGGTTGAAGCAAAATCGTTAAAATTTAAAGACTAATGAAAGAATTATCTATATAAATAAATATGATAATGAATTGTTTTTAAAAAAATAGTAATTTAATATATTTTTGAGTTTATTAGTTCGTGGGTTCTGTCTTTAGGTCTGGTGCCCAATACTCTGTACAGGGTAACAGTTAGTGCTAAGACGTTACGTGCACCAACATTCGATCAAAAAAGGACTTCTAGCTCTATGGAGAAATTTTCAACGCACATAAATTTTAAAACGCTGCCTAAAGGTAAACATATTTTTTTATACTTCATTTAATAATCGGATATGAGATTTTCAATCACTGCTATGTTATTCATATATTGTTTTTTTACATTGAAAAACCATTTAGTTGGCTTTGTGGAATCAAAAGCTAACCAAATTGGCGTAAAAAATAATTCAATTTAATAAACTGCAAAATATCATTTTAAATCATATTACTCTAATAAATATTATATTTCAATAATAATTATTTGCATAATTTTAATTCTTTGCTTGTTTTTTATTGTATCGTGCTTGCATGTTTGCATACAGGCTGCAAAGGTAGATAATACATTATTTTATATTTTTGTATATTATATTTGTTACATTATAAAAAATAATGTAGATTATTTAAGAAAAAATGTTATAGCATTTATATTGTATTAAATATTTATTCTATGCATTTATAAAGTAATGAAAAGTATATAGAAAAAATTATAAGTATTTCCTAACTGACACTGTTAAAAAAGAAAAAATATTATAAAGAATTTGTGTAGTGAATTTTTATCACATTAATAAAATTAAGTGATTAGATAATTTATTACCTATGACATTTTTTCTTTAAATTGTCTTTGAATTTTACATTATTTTAAATATATTTTTTACGATATGGTAATTTACATAATGACCTATGTAGGACTTCCAGATCCTCCTTCAGAAGTACAAGTAGAAGCAGGACCACAAGATGGAACCTTACTGGTAACGTGGCTTCCAGTAACTACCACTCTAAGTGATCCTTCCAACCGTGGTCATATAACAGGTTATGCCGTGTATGCAGATGGCAAAAAAGTGTCAGATATTGATAGCCCTACTGGTAAGATTTTACAAAACGCTTTTAAACTTAAATTTAAAAATCAAATTATTATTGACAAATTATAATACATTTTAAAAATGATGAGTTTATAGCCAAGCAATTGTATTAAGAATAAAAATGTAAACAATTATATTTTTATAAGAATAATTATTTAATTTTTTTTTCTAATAATGTACTACAAGACTGATGATATACAATTTTTCAGTCGGTAAACATTTTACATGTTATTTAACATGTAGTTCTAAGATTATTTATTATTTCCTAAGTTCAAAAATAAATTTTGAATAATAAATAATAATAAATATTCTAGTCTTAAGGTATAAAATTACAAATGTATATCTAATATAAATAATAGAATAGATTTGTATGTATCAAAAATGAAATTGTTATTAATACTTATGGTTTTCAGGAGATCATGCTTTAATAGATATCACTCAATTACTTAGCCTCAATCCGAGGCAAGTTACTGTACGGACAAAATCTAGAGATAATCAATCTTCAGATAGTAATCCAGTTTTAATACCGGGTGCGAAAAATAAATCACCTCATCACCATCACCATCATCATCATAAAGTAAATAATTTATTATTATTAACTATAATAATAACAATAATATTTATTTGATGTATAATTTAATTTAATTTATATTAATAAAATTAATAATAAAAAAAACTTACCTTATTAAATTTAAAACAAAGACAATGATTTTAATGTTGTTTTTTAGCCAGAAGAAGATAAGCGAATTAAATATGGATCGGCAGTACCTAGTCACATGAGACCACAACGCAACGCTTATGGTCAAGTAATCGTGGACACAGAAACTGAGAATCTCAGTGATAAAGAGATATTCCCAGGGCAAATAAGTATACCATCGATAGGTTCGTATTCAATTATGTAAATAATTACTGAGCTATAATTCGTACATTTGGACAGAAGTGACGAAAGATTTTGCTGGTGAGGGAAATTATAGTGAAGAAGAGTTCATGGAAAATGGAAGAGGTGCTAGGCGTGCACCATCGGCTCATCCTCATAGGCCTGCGGCTCCGAATCCGAGGTCAAAACAACCTCATCATGTTCGTCATCATTATGACGAAAGGTACTTTAAAAACTAATAAAAGTACAGTTATACATCATAACAATGCTTCATTTGTTATATTTGAACTTAACAGGGAACAATATTATCAAAATGAAAAACAAGTAGAGCCCAGAATAAAACATGTGAGTGGTGGAGATCAAAGAGCTTACAGGGGCAGAAACTCGGATCCTAGGCAAACTGCTTATCAAAAAACACCGAGGGACAAACGTCCAAGATGGGTGGTTGCTATTTATGATTATGATCCTACAACTATGTCACCTAATCCAGATGTTTGTGATGAAGAATTACCTTTTAAAGAAGGAGAACATATAAAGGTTTGATAACTTTATACAAATAATTACAAAATGTTATCATTATTAACCTTGTGTTATAGATATATGGAGATAAAGATCCTGATGGTTTCTATTGGGGTGAAAGTAGAGGAAGATTTGGTTATGTTCCCCATAATATGGTTATGGAATTATCTGATATGCAAAAGGTATGAAATATATAAAAAATATAAAAGAAACATGAAAAAATGTTAATTCATTGTATATATTATAATTAATTAATAAGCATGTTATGTTTTAATTTATAACTATACCTATTTATGTTTCATAAAATACTCGTATTTTGCGTGTAAAATAAAACATAATATATAGAAAAATACGAGTATATAAAAAAACAAATGGTTTATATATAGAAATAAATAAATGCTTAATGGATACTTCTGGAGTATTATTTTAAATGTGCGACCCGCTTCGAATCAAAAATTCAGCGTAAGGTATATACACATTAAAATCGTGAAATTTTTTTTTAGTCAAAGTATTTAGTAAAATTTGATTATATTCCTACTTATAAAGTAGAGGAGAAAATATTTAATTGAAGTATTACGTATTAAACGAAAGTCAAAATATAATATTTGTTAAAAGTATATAATATGTATAATAATATTATTTGTATTATACAGGGTATTCCTGAAATGGCTGAGGAAACTTGTATAAAGCTCGATTCACATTAGCGGTCTCGGTTACGGTTCGATCACGGTCAAGTCAACATCGATAGTACGTAATCCAACGGCATCGTACACGCTATCGATCACGGTCAAGTCACGGTCAGGTCCGGTCAAGTCTAGACCGGTCGATGCACGATCCAGACCGCCGCGGTTATGAGCTTTTTAATCGAGACCACCTAGTGTGAAAAGTCAACCGCCGCGCTTTCTCGGTCATATCCATTGTTTTGATTGTTTTTTGAACACTTTTGTATACTTTATGGCAACGTGCAGATAGAACTTGACTGATTGTGACCGGTAGTGAGAACTGTACATCATAATCCTTGACCGTGACTTGACTATGGCCGGACCGAATCGAAACCGCTTGTGTGAATCGAGCTTAAACGTACTTTCTGGAGTGGCCAAATGTAGAATCTTTTAAATTTTATTTTCTATCTTCAAAACCTGGGTTTTATCTAATTATTTTTAGAACATTATTTCGAATCTAAAAATTAACACTGAATACTTGTAATATATCTCTTGAAAATTTGTCCCATGAATCAATATGTGACATTGATTTTGGGCTTGTCACCCGATTTTCACGCTCGAATCGCCAGGATCAGAAAATGTGATGTGACATATCGATTGGTATTGTGTTTTCAAGATAAAAGATGGTGAAATGTATTATTTGTTATTTCACATATCTGATCAATTAACACGGTTTTCATTGAATTTCAAGTACATTTTGTTTAATTATGATTATTTTACAATAAAAACTGTATTAATTAATCAGATATGTGAAAAAACATCAAATCAATTTCACCTTGGTTTATCTTGAAGAGTTCTTATACAAATTGATTTGTCACATCACATAATTTGATCCTGGCGACTCAAGTGTAAAAAACACGTGACAAGTCCAAATCGATGTCACATATCGATTCACTTAAGAACTTTGGACGAAATATCTTACATGTATACATTTTTAGATTCGAAATAATGTTCTAAAGATAATTAGATAAAACTCAGATTTTGAAGATAGAAAAAAATTCAAAAGATTCTTCATTTGAACACTTCGGAGAGTACGCATATACTATTTTCTTCAACTATTTCAGGAACACTCTGTATAAAATAAATGTAATAAAACAATGTTAAGACAATGTTAATATGTACTTAATAAAATGCGTTATCAATGAAATTAAATTGATGCTAGATTTTAAAGAAATAACTCTTTATACCAGTACCCTCAAAGCCGTATTTAAAAATTTTTTTTGGGAGGGGTCCAAAACTTGTATATTATAATTGTATTGAATTTAGATTTTAACTATTGATATTTGATTAAAAATAAGACAGAAAAAGATTTAATCTTCTTTTATTAAAATTAATATCATATTTTCATATGATATTATGATATAAAATTAAAAGCAGTCAATGATTAATTGGAGCTTAAGTTATTTTTGACTGAAAATATTTATGTTGGTATTAAAAATAAATACGTATTTTAAACATTCATAAAATATTGAAGAAATTTCGGGTAGGGGGTCCAGACACCCTGGATACGGCCTATTTCAATAAAGTATTTCAATATTTTATAAGTAAGACTAAGAGAATAATTAAATTTATATTTATTTTTACTGGAGTGATAATTTTTAAAATTGTTTTATTATATTTTAATCAAAAATTAGAATTGTGAAAATGTATTATGAAGTAAGTGTTTTTTTATTTTATTTAAGTTCAAATAATTTATACCGTACACTGATCACGTAAAGTTTTACTTAATTTATTTTTCATTAAGGTTAAAACATCGGTTATTTTTTTTCTAATTTTTTTCTTGGGATGATATGTATATATATTTGTATATATATTTCTTTAAATATTTAATTTTAAACTCCTGACACTGTCTTCTTTCTCTAAAAGGAGACATAAATGCACTACACTTTAAGTAAAGTGAGTCCTGACTGGATGACGTATCGGACAACAGCACAGATACCAAGTGAAACCATAAATATCTTGTACTGATGATATGTATTTGTACTGATTGTTATTGTCATCTACGTTACCACTTCAATATTACGTCTATATAAAAGTCGCGTTTTAAACGATTTTTCATAGCTTGAATTTAAGTATTTTAGTTATTCAGCTACGTATAATTATTATGCTAATATAATGTTTTTATAAAAAACTAATAGAGGTTAAGTTCAGAATAGGTCACGAAAGCAAAAATGTAATTAAGGGTTTTATTATATATTTGGTTATTACTGATTAAGAAAATATTTTATAAAGTTTAAACTTAAATTGTTTTAATATTTATTCTACACTTATTATCTAACTATCCTATAGAATAATTACGTTTGTTAAAAAAATTGTTATTTGATATTTTCAATTGTTGTTTCATTTAATATTTTTCCGTTATTTATTATTAAATTTAAAATTATTATTTAAAAAAGTAATATCAACACAAGTTGTATAAAATGATACTCCACTTATGATTTGTTGATATATTGGCCTTGGTTATTAAAATTTTACCATACATTTGATCAAAAATTCTATTGTAGAGTATTATAGTATAGTAAAGTATATTATAATATAGGCAGTATAATATTATATAGTATTATAACACTTATAACTCATTAATTAAAATTATTTAAATAATTTTTAAATAATTACTGTAATAATATTTAAGTATCTTAAATTATGCTAGATATATTAAGTTAATTTACATTAGGTGTTTCGTAATTTATAAATTATATTATATTTTTTAATTTAAAAATAAAAATGTTGATGTTACATTAAATTTATTTGCAGAATCAAGATGTTAGGGTTAGGAAAGATGACCGATGGATCGATCCATATTCAGGACCGGTAAAAAAAATGGTCGCTTTGTATGATTATGATCCGACAGAAAATTCACCGAATGTTGACGGAGATGTAAGTAAAATAAATTATTTAAAGTATATTTTAAAGTACAATAATATATTTAGTCCAATCGTAATAATACTAACCACCAAAAGCTATTTAAAAGTTGTTCAGTTTGACCGTTAAATAATATTTAAGTTATTAACGAATGTATAAAGTTATTATTGTATATAATTTATTTGTGGTGAGTCGATTTAAGGAGCTAAATTTAAATTATAACTATATAATTTTGTAAGCTTTTCCATCGAAATCTCTTTTGTTTTAATTTTCTCATTTTAAACGAAACATGCAAACACTGTTTTAAGTTATAGTATGATTTCACAAAGTATTCTTTGTGTTGTAATTAATAAATACTTTCGTATAATCAAAATATTCAATTCAACTCCAAATAAAACATTGTTCTTAAATAGGCTTCTAGAGATTTAAAATGTATATTAATTTTGTGTTATAATGGAAATGTTTATAAACGCTAGTAGTGATTATAAGTATTTATAAGACCAATTTCAAATGTTTCAAAAAATAAAATTTGCCTACCGTGTAAAAGTGCTACATAGTTTTAAATTTATATTAATGAAGTCAGTACCGCAACTAACGACCTTGTAAATAAAAGCTTGAAAAGTAAGTTCACGTAACACACTGATTACATATGATCTTAAGCAGCGCTCGTTATGGTTGGGCGGGGGTGCGCAGGGGTGGCGGAGCTCCTCTACTACTTTTTTTATTTTTTTTTTTTTTTTTGCCTACCACAACTATATTTTTCCGCAAGAATGGAGAGACGTTCGCCCTAAATAATGTCCAAATTAATTTTTTTTTAAATGTGGATTTCAATTTATGTCAATTTCATAACGAATATTACAATTTATAATATCATAACTATTTTTGATATTCGTTTATTAATACGTTGAGCTCCGCTACTATCATCATTTATCAGTCCCAAAGTATAATTTTAGTATAATCAAGTATAATATTATTAAGTTTGTTATTAATATTATTGATATTAATATTTGGAATTTAAATATTTGTGTAGCCGAAAAGTGGTATTCAAAAACTTAAGGTTGATGGTGGGGTGTATGGGAGGTGAAGCCCCCACGGGTCTATAATTTTCCTTAAATAATTAAATCGTTAGACTGAGCTTGTCTACTTAATTTTTCCAATTCTAGCACTGATATTAAGTGATTAGCTAAGTTCACATTTTAACTGCATCGTGACTCGATTGAAACATGACTGTTTACGTGCGTAAATGACGATTCGATTTCATTGCATTTTCCAGCAGGTAGAGCTGCACTTCAAGATGGGTCAAACCATATTCATATACGGTGAAATGGACGACGACGGTTTTTACAAGGGCGAGTGCAACGGGGTCCGTGGCTTGGTGCCGTCCAACTTCCTGATGGAGGTGGGCACCGAGTACGGACCAGAGGACGGTGTCGGGCCACCACCGTCCAAAGGACAACGGCAGTCGCAGCACCACCACCAGCTGCAGCAACAGCAGCAGCAACAGCAGCAGCAACACCAGCAGCAACAGGACATGCGAGGACACGGGCCCGGGGCCCGGGGTCCACCACCCCCGCCGCGTGGCATAGACCAGCCGCCCAAACGCAAAGGTACGCACCCCGCAAGCGCGTGAAATCACATCCAACATCCCCCGCATACGTGACACAATTTTAAATAACGGTAAAGTTGTGCCCTCATTAGAACCCGGTATACAAATATGCGTTCAAAGTTTGGAACATGCGTGTTTTGACGTATTCGTCCGCCCCCTCCCTCCGGATTTTCCGACGAGCGACCACGGTAATCGGTGTAATCGGTCATCGTTTAGTTGCACTCGGACCCTATTATAATGTCATTAATCTCCTTCATACATGTTGATATTATACATAATATAATTATGTATTGCTGTTGTTAAATCAAAATATTAAAGAAAATACCGTGATGGTGGGTTATCCGTTATCGTTGTAAAATTAAAAATAAAATAAAACCGCGTGATAATTACAAAAACATAACTATCCATAAATAAATATCATATATAATGAAATAATGTTTTACGGTTATTTTTAATATATTTAGACACTTCGAGATCTTTACGAAAAACATGCATATACACTAATACACAACGAGACGTAATAGTCCAGAATATATAAATATATTTTATTTTTTTTTTGCCTGATCACTTCAGCAGCTTGTTTTTTGTTTTGTCATGTTATTTTCTGGCCCGGTTTTAGTCACGGAGTTGATTTGTTGATTGACCCTGTTGCAATGGCTTATAAATATTTTTTGTTTTGTTTTGTTATTGAAAACCTCGAAAATATTATGTTATATTATTATCAATAATATAATTTTTTGTTTTTAATATGTGTACATGTCTTCCTTCGCAACATATACTATCACAACACTTAATTTTTCTTATCTCTATTTAACGCGCAAATAGAAACAGAGTACCTGTTGTACATACACCTTTATGGGTGATGCCTGTTTCCACCAAAAGTAGACCTATCCCTTTTACACCAATACCCGTTTCCACCAAAAGTGTATCATTTCCTTTTCCACCAATATCCGTTTCCACCAAATGAGATATTGACCACGTTTTTATCAAAACAATTGTATACTACGCTTAAATTAAAAGCTATAGCACAGAAATAACTTTATTTAACATATACTATTAATTCAATACATTTAAAGGCATTATATAATATATACAATATTGACTGAAAAATGTTAAATTTTATTTGAAAAAATGGTCAGATATAAAAAGATGAAAAAATTGTATATTATGATATACGATACCTTAGTTATGTAAATTGTAACTATATAAATAATAAGTTGATATTTGTTAACTGATCCAATAAAAAATTTAAAGTTGTTTAGCACTAGTGTTTTATTTTCACGTTTACTTTCGATAACTTTAGCCATCATAGAATTATAAATTTAAAAATTTACATTTTATTTTAACACACACGCAGTTGTAATACACTATTTAAACTGTGCCATCTTTTCACTTGTTCATAAAGTATTTAATTATTTAGATATTATAATGGTTAATGGACATAAAAGTACATGCATAAGTACGATAACGGTTTAACATACAATTAAATACAATAAATGTACAATATACATTGATTATATTGTGTGTATATTTATATATATTTTACATAAATCCGAAAAACTCATGAAAAGTATAGGTATTTTATTTTATTTGGTGGAAACGGATATTAGTGGAAAAGGGAAAGATACACTTTTGGTGGAACAGGGAAAGGTCTACTTTTGGACTTTTGGTGGAAACGTGTTACGCCCACCTTTATCTGGGTAGTATGAAATATATTGTATCCAAAATTTATAAATGCAACTGTTTATTTGTGTTTACAGTAATTGTCTAGTGCAGTGATTCTCATCTTTTTCTCGTTCATGTTACCTTCGGCCACTAGAATAAAACACTGCGTTACCCTAACATCAAAATAATGAGTAATCTTAACTGTGTATATAAGAATAATTTTTGAAATAACAAAAAAAAAAAAATAAAAAAAATACAGTACACAGAAAAATAATAAGCACACATACAATTTATTTGTGTTGCAGGGCTCAATAAATATTGACAGTTAAAAGTTTTAATTTGAAAATTAAAAAAAAAAAAAAAAAAAATAATAATAATGATTTGTATGAAAACTGATGAGAAATTAGGTCTTGGTGGTTTTTATAAAATTGAGGAAATCGAGGGATGACGGTGGAAATGTTGGAAATGGTGGATGATTGTCTTCTAGAGTTGTGGAGCTATAACAGTACATATATAGCGACTGCAAAATAACTGACTAACGATTTCGGTTAAATCGATAAGATAATCCATAATGCAGTGATTACACAAATCAAAATACTACACGTATTTATCGGATCTAAATAAAACAAAGCCAGAAACTTAAAGGTATGCTATTTACATGGAAGTTGTGGCAATAAGATTTTATTAAAATTAATTTTTTTTCCTTTTCCCTTGAAGATTTCGTGTCACCCCTACACTGCGTCCATGTCACCCCGGTTAAGAACCACTGGTCTAATGTGTATACGAAAAGTGTAAATTTAATTGTTTTCGAGCAATTGCGTCGCATGGTTGCACGGACGTGCTGGTATAGTAAGCAAAGAAAAACTAAATAAGGCAATCCAAGTTTTCTTCGTTTCAGCTGATTTTGTACGATTGAATAACGATGCACATCGTCTTTTTTATCAGTGTCTATTTTGTTTAACTACTTTTTTTCACGACGTAGACGATCCGAAACGCGACGGACAAAATTTATGGAGTGAAAAAAGATTCACTATATTACTCGTGTCACGTCCAGTATTAAGTTCTTTTTAATTATATATATATATGTACATATTTTTTTCTGAAAACTTGTATCAGCTTAAGCGTTACTAATTCATTTAAAGTCTGGTATTTTCTAGTCAAGTGGTATATGGTGCAAGTTTCTTAATCTTATTAAGTCTAATTTATCGATTCAAATTAAATTAATTTTATAATTAAAAATTCACTTTAAAATATGTTGAAAACTTGGTTAACTTTATAATAATTTTGTATAAATAAATAGTTTCTCAGTCCAATGGTGAAAATTTTAAAACTGTTATGTTTCAATAATCCATTTTGCATTTCATTTTAATCGATTAAAATGAGAAACGGATTTACGAAGGGAAAATAATGCATTTTGTGTTTCGAATATGATCCTTTTCCTATTTTACTAAACTTATAATTTTAGTGACGTGTCCGGTTGCTCGATTTGGGTAAGGGACATTGTTTTGGCAGTTTCATTGTGCTTAGGATAAATCGTATAGCTCCTGCTGCTGTCAAAGCGTTTCGTCTTAAATTTATTATACCAACACAATAATGCGCTTTATCATTAATATCAATTCTTGTCATCAATCAAAATCACTTCAATAAAATTATCAAATAAAAAGAAACATGAAACACATTTTTTAAATTAATTTTAGTTTGATTAACAAAAAGCTACGTTAAATAAAAACAACAGCTGAAAGTGCAATTTAAAAAGAATCAATTACATAACTACAGGTGGAGCTATAAGTATGAGTATTCCTTAAAAATATAACTAGGTATACTTCTCGATCGTACAACGTACAAATCTATGTTACAATATGGAATATAACTAATAATGACAACAAGTTATTTTATTTTGTGTAATTTTAAAATAGACATTGCTAAAGTGCTATCTCGAATAACTAATTTTAAGCGATAACATTACTTTTTAAATATTTTAGATCAATGTTAAGTAATTGGTGTTTCAATTAATTTGCATTTTGTTTAAAATTAAAATTAAAATTAATATCTTCTTAAGTTAAAAAGCATAAATGAGTATATTTCTATTATAGAACAAAAATATAATTGTGTTTCGATAGAATAATTTTATGATGATTATACCTTAGCAGACGAAAATGCCTATCATCGATGTAAAAAATACATGGGTATGTTTAAGAGCAAAGAAAAATATAGCCTAAGTAAAAACAATTCACGTAGTATAGTACCATTAAATTTAACATGTAAACGAATACTTGTAGCTCCACATAATTTTAATTGTTTGTTTTTTAAAATAAAAATGCATGTTATAATATTGATCTCTATGTGTGATTTAATTGTTTTATAATTTTTTTCTTTTTATTTTATGAAACTTCAAATGTATTCATCAGCTACATATTGTTGTTTCCATAATACATGATGATTGATTTGTTTGAACTGAAAAAATTTGTAAAATGTTGTCAACGATATGACCCACCCTCAATGTGTTCCAAGCATGAAAATGGTTTTCCCGCCGCACACAATCACATCGCAAATGAAAACGTAACACGCAGCTTTATTCGGAACAAAGTAACATAGCTGTTGGTTACGTTTTTATTTCTGATGATTTTTTTTTTTTTTGTGAATTCATCCAATACTCATTGAGAAACGCAGATATCGCATGTTCTGTGTTTTAGTTTTTTTGTCGTGGTCAAAAAAACCAAACCATACAAATTTATATGTTTTCTGTATGTTTTTCTATTTTTTTGTTTTTCTATCTTTGTTCTGTTCGCTATAGATGCCTGCCTTCCGCAATATGATTATCACCAGGTGAGTGCGTGTGAGCTATTAATGAATGATCTGTCTTCTTCAATACATATATTTATACAACAAATACACTCACATTCTTGTCATCCAGACAACAACAATATCTACAACATATAAACACACACCAAACATAACATATCCTGTGTGGTACGTCTAGCTGCCGGTGCACCCGCCACATTATAAAAATAACGGATAATGTATATTATGTGTATACGATTTTTTACGTTTAAATCATTTAAGACCGTTGACCACAGGTACAATAACAGTATAATATAGTAATACTGTTTACGCAGAATTATATGGTAGGTTGATGATAATACAATAATATTGTCAAGAGTGTATGTAAAACTCCTTGTGTTCCCTATTTTTCCAAGATTTTCTAACCTTGCATCAGGAACTAAACAAATAAAGATTTTTCCTACTTTTTTATCCGTGTACAGTAGTATACATAGTTATATTACAAGTAATATATAACAAGAGGTAATATTAAGTTTGGCATTCGTTGTGACAGTTGTAAAGCGAATTTATTCCTTCAATTTCCAATCGATACGGTTTTAAAACGAATGTGTGTGTGTGTGTGTATGTATGGTCATCGGTATCTTGGACGCATGCCTGCATGTTAAATTGTATATATAACAGAGATGTTCTTTTTTTCTTTTCATTATTCACTTTTTACTTCTAAATTAAATGAAAATCTAATACAATATAATATAATTTACAAGTATATATGTGTATGTGCAAGTGTGTATGTGTGTATTAAATATGTTTATTAAACCGATTAAATCGTTATGAATATAATGTTTTTATAAAATACTACCTGATGCTTCTTCACAACGGATAGCTGAACTTATATTTACTTTACCTCAACAATCTCACATCACCAGTGGTGTATTTAGGGAGTAGTAGCTGGAGGGGAAAATTACTCGTAGTTTTACTTTATATTTTTATAACAAAAGTTCAATTCAAATGAAGTTAGTACTATACATATTTTCTTTTATTTTCTTATTATACCACGATTTATTATCTAGTTTTGATTAATTGTACATTCAAAAAATAAAACTTTATCTAAATAAAAGTGGTATGGCACAGTTATATATACCGATTCAGGTGGGTGAATTTTGCTTGAATAAATATCGTTTAAAACCGTTTAATTTTGTGGGATTAGTAAATGAACATCACGTACACGTAGACGAGGGAAATCCAGAATACACCACTGTAGTTATAACGTCCTTTGAGTTTGATAACTTCATGTGCATCACAGGTGTAACTACAATATGAAGGGGCTTGAATTGAAATCGAAGGCGTTGAACTTATCTACATGAGTAAACAGCAATTTTTTTTCGGACGGCGTGAAAAACGATTTCGGTTTCTTTTACTATCAAACACATTTATTCTAATATAAACATCGGAAAAGTTATATTTTGTCGAACAAGAGTAGATGCGTAGTTGTTGTAACTAATTCTATCCACAAAGTTTGGAAGTACGAGCCTTAATATTAGAGTTGACTAAACTATTATTGAACTTAAACGAAATAATATAATTTTTACCTTCTTGTAGGGTGTTGACAATATTTAAATTCTTTAGCGGGTTATAAGAATTTTAAATTATAATATATATCTTGACTCGGTTAAAAACTAAAATAATGTTAAAAACCCACGAGAAAATCCAGTTTATTTTCTTCCTTTTAAGTTTGGGTCAGATTTTCTGATGCCATCGGTTTTGCTATACGCATAATTTGCCAAACATACGTTTTCATGTTGGAGATTACATACGTGGCGTTCTCTTAATTTTAATACTCGGCGAAACGATCGGGAAATTAATTGACTTAACGGAACGACGTGTTGATCCGGTAGCCTTATGGGGGGGGGGGAAGTATTAAGGGTTAGTGGAGGGTAAATTCGATTCCCTCGTGGACGTAGTTACGCCTGTGATGTTAGGTGCGTGCGTGCGTGTGCAGTGCGTGTGTGTGTTATTATGCTCCGGGGTCGCTTCAGGAGCCATACACATTCGTGGGGCTTAACGGAGACTGTGTCCGGGTTTCTAGATGTCAGCGGCGGAGGCGAGGGAGAGAGGAGATCCGTACGAGAGGAGAGATGGTAGAGACGGCGTGGTCGGCGGTCAGTCGTCGGGCGTAGGCGGTCAGCAGAGCTCGTCGGGCAAACTGTTCAAGGGCCTCGCTCAGGTGGTACCCGACTTTGGGCTCGGCAGCAGGCCGCACGACGGCCAACAGGCCCAGACCGGCCAGCCGGGCGGTGGCACGTCGAGTTTCATGCAAAAGCTGAACGACCTGACCCACCACAACCCTATCATCGGCGCCACGGCCAACCAACAGCAACAGCACCAGCAACACCAGCAGCACCAACAGCAACAGCACCAACAGCAGCAGCAGCAGCAGCAACCCGACCACGGTGTGGACAATATACTGTCCAAAGGCAAAGAATTGATCTTCATGAAGTTCGGGCTGGGCAAATGATGTTTACCGACGGCTATTAACGTAGTGTTCACTGCCTGTGTCATTGTGATCCGTTTACTGTTATCGTATTATACCTAATGTCTTTCTCCACGTTTCTCGACGCCCGGTAAGTCTGTAGACAAATACTTGTACGTAAAACTAACGTGTATGGATCGAACGTGTTTTTGCGATAAGTTTCTTCGATCTATGAGGCGGGGGGAATAATACGTAAAAGCTCGCGACAAAGCGTTCCTCCCGAACCGAATAGCTGCAGAAGCAGTTCTCGGTGACGTGATTTTATCCGAAACGGTTTTTTTCTATTTTTTTTTTTCAATTAATATTAAATTTTGTAAGAAAATCTATTTTGAAACCACGTTAATAGTCAACGGTAAACATTTTAATAGAATACGATCACGCACTTTACGTGCACTATCCTCATTATACATATGCTACCTATATTGACTTCCATATAAGATAATTAAATATTATTACTGTTACTACCTATTATTATAATTATTATTATTATTCTCCAATTCGATTTACAACACGTACATTTAGTTTTAATCTTCTTTTTTTTCATGTAAATATAGCTATAATAATATTTTTAACCGATAATGTAATCATTTGAAAGTTTCAATTTGTATGGATAACGTATGTACACGTCATTATATAAATATATTTAATATTCGTACATATTATTATTATTATTATTATGTGTTTGATGGTTACAAATATACGATAGGTTCTTATAAACTGTACGTGAGAAAAGTCAAAGGCTGTGATATTATTAGTTGATTACTTACAACCGCTTGTACCGTCCTCCGAAACAATTTTTAAAAAAAAAATGTCAACGATTTTGAAACATGAAATCCATATAAAGATACACACACACACACACACAGCGGCGGCGGTGACTTTCCGAAATTCCGTGCAAAATCTATGGAATTTGCGTGCTCTTTATCTCTCCATCTCTCTCACTTTTTTACACACACACACACACACATACACATACACTCATACTTTTTCTATCTCGTATATAATATAATATAATGGGGTTTTCTCAAGTGCATCGCTTTGATTATCCCTTATGAGACTGCATGGACACGTATTATTTCATACCTATAATATCGGTATACACAACGTGTAAGTATGCACACGAGGAGACCTTAACAAGTACACACCACAATCATTTTTTCCCTCGATGTTTCCCATAGAAAAACGAAAATCATTTATTTATATTATTATAATTGATAGTCTAGTATAATGTAATGTTATGTGTATAATGTTCTTTTATTTTTAAACCTAAATTTTAATTATTTTTATTGAATTTCGAGGAGCGTTACGAAAAACACTCCACGGGCGCTTGGAATTTTTACTATAACGTCTATATTGTATAATTGTCTGTATTCGGTGCCTCAAATAATTAATATCTATATTATACATGTTATGTACAGTTGATTTCATTTCGCAACTGCCAAATATTTATATACGTACTTATTATCTATTTCGTGCGTCGGTTGCTATACTTGTTTTCTCGTCAAAACATAATGTTATAATAATATAGTATAATTTATAGGTATTATGTTAGTTTTATATCGAAGAAGTCGATCGGTTTCAGTTGTTGACCAAATCGTACACACAGTTATAAACTATTACATTTTATCTGGCGTAGATCATTGATTATGACATGTACAAACGTTATAGATAGCAATAATTTTTAAAAACAAAGGGACAATGTAATTTTTTTTTATACAAACGTTTCTTGTCACTCTCTTATACTTTGCGTGCACATACACATTATATAGTAATAAATAAATCTATAAATAAAAAATAAAAATATAAAATTGTAACCACACTATTACTTGTCATAGTTTGTACGATCATAGTATGTGTGTCGGTGTAAATATTAATTCTCACCTTTAGATTTTTACTAGATTTACTATGATTGCATTTCGACAATGAAAGTAAAAAAAAAAAAAATAATAAAATTACTAACGATAATACTATGGACATTATTGTGTAATTGTTTACTATCGTTATATTGTATTACATTATAGTATAATATGATAAATAATTGGTGGACAACGTTTAAATTGTCTATACAATTACTATGAAATGTTATACAACGATTATTTTTAAGCTCTGTAATGAACTATACCTAAAAACATAATAATTTTATCATTATACGGAATGTAATTATTATTAAGTGTACTTAAAATATTGAATGCTGTTCATAAATAAAAATATATAATATCTTTCAAATATGCATCACTGTCTTGTTGATATATATATATAATAATAATAATAATGTATACCTAATTTTATTCCCTTGCGACGAAGGAGATGTGTGTGTGTGTGTTGTATAATATACATGTACACACATATAACCCCATATAGGTGTCTACCGAAAATTTACACGTATCCACGGTGATATTCCAGCAGTTCTGTACAATACATCGTACGTATATAGAGACGGGTGCGAGTAATACTAACCGATTGTGAAACTCTGTATCACGAGGCTCTTGGGTATCGTTCACCACGGCGCGTACGCGTTAAATCATTCGCGAATATGACGTCGAAAAGACATTTGTTTCAATTTCGTTCGATTTTATAAATCCGTGTACATATTTATATCCCCTATCCACTGTACGTATGTGCCCGTCTGACTTGTTTATACCGTAAATGTATTTATCTTGTTGTCATGGATTTCACGTACGTACGCGCTCCTGGCCGCGAACAATGCACGGGTAAATAATATTCTGACCAAATTCCTGTTTCTGTTCGTATTGTACCATGGTTTTCACAGTATTGTTCAATTGTAGCGCCACGCAATCGGACTAGTGGACAACGTATTACGTAATATCCATAGCACCTTACGTTACGCTTGTAAGTACTGTGATGATTAGGGAACGGATTCGAATGGAAATTGCATTTTTTTCCGAATGTCCAAAAACATTGGTTTTCAAGCAAAAAGTTAATTTCATATATCAAGGAATTAAAAAATGTAACTTTTATTTTGCATTTTTTTGCATTTTTTGCATTTTAAAGACTTGATTACATTTTTAGAGCATTTGTTGACATTTTTAGTGTATTTTTATGGTTTTTAAGTCATTTTTTCAACGATCATTCTAAAAAAATAAAAATACTCAAATATTTATTATGTTACGAAATTACGAAATTATTGTTGACACGTGCAGACACAAAATACATACATACAAGTTACAACAGATTATTACCCACATTAAGGTAAAGATAAGATGAGCTATTTATCTAAATTGTAATTTTGTATTGTACTGTTGAGTTGAGTCATTACTTCATCGTTTTGTATCACGTATAGCCTCGAAATTAACATTTTCGAGTAATTTTCATCGATGTATTTAGTTTAGTTTTGTTTATTCCTCCAAGTTTTTGAAAATGCCTAAAGCCAAACCTTCAGATGTTTGTCGTTTGCGGTCATATGTTCAACAATACGGGGAATCAATTTTTTCTACCGATGGATGCGTTCTTTTTTGTAAGATTTGTGAAATTAGAGTGGCAGCCGAAAAAACATTTACTGTGACACTAGAAATTCAAAAAAATAGAAAAAGTGAAGTTATTCAGACATTAATTAATACCGTTCCAAAAAATAATGCATTTACTACAGATCTTTGTACTGCAATGGTATCTGCTAATATTTCTCTTTCTAAACTGAAAAATGAAAATTTCCGCAATTTTCTTTTAAAGTATACCGGCCAACATATTCCAAACGAATCCGCAATTCGAAAGAACTATGTAGTCAATACTTACAATAATACAATGAATTCTATTAGAACATACGTGAAGAATAAAAAATTATGGGTGAGTATAGATGAGACTACAGACGTTGATGGCCGATATGTCGCTAATGTCATAATTGGCACTTTAGAAATTGGATGTTCCGGTAAAACTTTTTTATTTAATTGCGAAGTTTTAGATAAAGTAAATAATAGTATAATAGCTAAATTATTTGATCCATCTATGAGCTTGTTGTGGTCAAAAGGTATTAAACATGATAATTTACTCCTATTTCTCAGTGATGCAGCACCTTATATGGTGAAGGTAGGAAAAAATATTAAAGCGTTTTATACAAAAATGGAACACGTTACATGTTTGGCACATTCTCTACATAGAGAAGCTGAAGAAATACGCAAAAAATTTCCCGAAATTGATGCTTTTATTTCGAACGTAAAAATGATATTTTTGAAATGCCCATCTCAAATATTGAAATTCAAAGAAATGGCGCCAGGAATACCAATGCCACCTCAATCAATACTAACTAGGTAGGGTACATGGTTATCGGCAACTATTGAGGAAATTATCAATTGATTAAATCTGTTGTGATGGGGTTTGATAAAGAAGATGCTGTAGTAATTGAGAATGTACAAAAACTGTTAAATGATAATAATTTGGAATTAAACTTGACACTTATCAAAGCAAATTATGGAAATTTAGCAAAATACATTACTAAATTGGAAACATCTGGATTATTGTTGGTTGACGAAATTAATATTATTGTTCAAGTACAAAATTAAATCGGAACAGACAACAGTAGTATCGAAAAATCTATTAAAAAAAAAACTAGAAGTTTTGATTGAAAAAAATTCGGGATTTAAAACAATGAAACATATTTCAAATTTTTTGGAAGGAAAAGCAACTTTTCGAAATAATACAATATCTGAAGAACTAATTTCTGATGACATTGCTCATATGAAGTTTGCACCTATGACGTCAGTTGACGTGGAACGAAGTTTCTCAAGATACAAATCAATACTGTCCGACAACCGTCAAAGATTTTTGTTTGACAATATTAAGCAGCACCTGATTATACAATGCTATAAAACAAAAGGTAAAAGTACAATGAATATACCAATCTAAATTGTATACCTATTAATTTTTTAATTTTGTAAAGTAAAAAGAAGATGGACAAAAAATAATTGAGAGTTAATTAATTAAGATTGTGTTGTTATTAAATATTTTTTATCAGATTTTTCATAATAATGTGTTTTTTTTATAATTTTTAAATTCAAAATTGTGTTTTTATTGAATATAAACACATTTTTAAAATTGTTCAGGGCATTTTTTTATGTTAAAACATTTTTTAAGGCATTTTTCTTGTTTTTTAGAGCATTTAAATCCGTTCTCTAGTGATGATTGTTGAAATTCAATTAATTCAAAATATGGGTGGAACACGATTGCGCACGTTTGTCCTTTTTGGCAACACGATTGCGTCCGTTTGTAGATGGGTAAAAAAAATAAACAAACACGATTGTGTATGAAATTGTATGCAATGTTGTCAAATTTACTAATTTCACTAATAATAGTAAAAATATTTAGAGATCAACAAAAAAAAAAAAAAAAAAAAAAATTAAGAATCAAAAAATCAATAAAAAAAAAAGATAAACAATAAATAATAACTATAACACTTCTGTTATAGATTATAAAAAAAATTAGTAATAAAATAATAAATAAAATAAAAGTGATTAATAAATAAATAAAATTGAACAGTTTTTATTTGAATGAAATTATTGTTAGTAAATTATTTGAAAATGCTTAAATTTGGATTCCTTGATATCTATTACCTACTACTTTTACTGAAATTCGAAAATTACCGTACAATATAACGGAAATAACGAAATTTTGTTATATCTGATATGTTTATATCATTAATAATAAACATAGGCAATAAAAGCAATAAAATACAATGTGTTTATTAACTTTTTTAAGTTATAGGCATTTGGTATACGCCAATACCGGTATGAAAATTGGCATCAACGTTTAAAATTTCGTACGCTATTATGTAGTTAAAAATCAGGTAAAATCGTACGGGATCGTGTGACTTAAAAAGGTATCGCCGATAACGAACGTACGCAATCATGTTTTACCTCAAAATATTTGATTGGTAGACAACGAAAAAAGTTCTAAAAAAAAAAACCGGTGTTAACGAGAAAAAAAAAAATTAGAATATACCGCATTCTTAGAATACGCGATTGACTGTAGTGTATTGTATATAATACATTATATTATACATTTTTTTAGAAAGTAAGTTTAAGAAAGTTTCACTCGTGAATTTGTACCCACGCCGGTATAAATGCAATGTTCCACGATGAATCAAGTTTATTGCCAATATAACGACGTTTGCAGACAACATTTGTATGAAATTGCAATGATTTCGGTTATATCGTCGCAATTTCACATTTAAACATTGCGTTTACGATTTTCTATGTCTGAATCTAATACGGAAAAATCCGTATAATTAAAATGTAATGAAAAAAATGTGCCTTCGTTACGTACAAAACCAGAGACTATGCACTACACCACCGTGCAAACAAATTAAATGTGTTTGTTGCGAAAAAAAATTTACCGGATTAAAGTGCACGTTTCACATTGTGTGAGTATTGCCCAAGAAAGTTGTACAAGGCGTACGTGCGAAACGCCTATAAAAAAGTTGGAATATTTTAAAGAATAATAATAACGAATTTAATTTTTCTTTTTTTTAGATTTATGTTTATTTATTTTTTTTCACTCTTTGTTTAAGAACTAAAGGAGTAATTTAAATCCTGCTATATCGTCTCATACCGAAGCGTTTATATCCGTTGAATTAATTATATTTTAATTTCAAACTTAGAATCACAATATTTATGTATTTTTTATACGCTTATTTTTCAATTATTTTTCACCGAGGATACTTATTAATATTTC